ATCTCTGCGACACACAGTGTCCTTCAGCTTGGAATATTTCAAGGAAAGGATGAAACACGCATGTGCACATAGACATATATATAAGCATTTTTACATAAACAGAAGAACCCCAGTCTATATTTCTTTGCCTCCTATACTTCAGTTTCAGAGCCCTATCTGTTCAGTTCATTCCCATCTGTAATGTTTTGGAAACAGTGCTGTGTGGTGCAGCTGAAGATCAAAATTGACCAGATCAGGACGATGCAGTATGAGATCCAAAGACTGCCTTTAGACCTGTTAAAATTCAGTCTGCAGTATTATACTTCCTTAGCAAATCCTTCCACATGCATATAGACATATATCTTTAAGCATACATGTATGTACCCACATACACAGAGGAAAAGTGAGATTAAGGTCTGATTATCTTTTAAACAAATGCCCCTTTACATCTCTCTAGCACCATAAAGAGTCCTGAAAAAGGGAAGATGCATAATTTACATTCATTTTAACCATCTTAGTACTGATGAGAAGTGTAAAAGGGCCTTAGAGTAAGAGAATCAGCCCAATGGTACCCACTGACACATTTCCTTTTAATGTTTTACAGATATTTTAATTACAGATGAGATCCCTTAATTACAGGTTGCATTTTAAAGAAAACATCATTACAAATATTAAACTGTAGAGAAGTAATGGCTGGCATAGTGGAACAAGACCTTAAGGGTAGATTCTGATACAGTCAGACAGTGACAGACCCACAACAAACCACTGCTTCTTTCATAACAGGGCTCAGTGCATTTAATGCTAAAGTAATTCTCTCTGTTTAGAAAATCATCAGAGCTATTCTAACATTTTGTCTACAGTTCAGAGAATCCCAGCCAGCTGAAGTAGCACCTTTTACCCATATACAATGCCTAGTACAATAAAGCCCAATTGTATTTTGGGGCTGCTAGTCTCAATTCAGAGGAGAAAGGAAAAATAATAGGCACTAAGATAAATCAAATAGCAATTCCATACTTGACTTTGGAGAAAGATTATATCCTTTGTATAAATCCTATGCTTAGGAATCCTAATGGAAATATATGGCTGCATCTTGTCAGACAAAAGGTCCATGTAGCCCAGCATCCTGTCTCCAACTGTGAGCTGGCTGCCTAGAGAGGAGTGTAAACGTGGAGCAAATGTATGGTGATGCTTTCTCAGAATGCTCCCTTAGTCCTGATCTTGTGGTTCTGATTGATTTTCTTTCCATGAAGAGTCACTTTTGGCATATGTATATTCTTAGCAACATTACCTCCTGCTTAAAGCTTCCTTACATCATGGGTGAAATGTCTATGTTTTGAACCTGCTAGTTGTGATTTCCACTTTTTTACTCCTCTTTTACTGAGAGTGTGCTGGGTCTTTGTGTATGAAGGGAGTTTTTGGTAGCAGGGGAGGGGGCTACAGTGGTGACCCCTATGAGAAGCTTCTCAAAGCTCCCCTGGCTCCAAGTTGGACCCACCTCTAGCCAAGGCCAAGACAATTATCTATGGTGGCTGCACTTCTGTGATAACATATTTAAGAAGGGGAACCTGGGAGGAGGAGGATGAGTTGTGAGGATAAGTTGCAAGGAGGACACCTATGTGAACACAGAGGTCAGTGGGAGAAAGAAAGGGGTGTGGGGGAGATGCACCAGCATAGAGCCTCCCTGCAGCCTATGGTGAGAGGGCAGGCCACCCCTGCTGCCACCTATGGAGGCCACCGATGCTGATGTGTAGCCCATGAAGCACTGTTGGCTGTGCCCAACTCTGTGGGAAGAAGCCCCCACTGCTGTAGTTCAGCACTGGGAGGAATGAAACACATGGGAGGCACCCAGGTTGTAGCATCTTGGGAAGAGCTTCAGCCCGTGGGAAGGACTCATGTCAAAGAACGTTTGTGGAGGACTGTCTCCTGTGAGAGGGATGCCACGCTGGAGCAGGGGAAGGATGTGAAGAGTCCTTCCACTGAGAAGGAAGGAGTGGAGGGACTGACTGTAACCCCATTCCCTACCCCCTGCACCACTGTGGGGAGGAGGAGGAGAAATCATGAACAAAACTGAGCCTGGGAAGATGGGAGGGGTAGGGGAAGGTGTTTTTTTAAAGATACGGTAATGCTTCTCACTGTCCTACTCTGTTGAGTGGTGGTGGTATTAGTGTTTGAATTAAATTGATGTGGGAGAAATGCAAGTTGGCTTTGGCCTGTCAGCCCTGCGCAGCTGTGGGGGAGAGGTGGGTCGGCATCGGCCTGTCAGCTCTGCGTAGCCCCTGAGAAGCAGCAACGCTTGGATGAGAAACAGGCCCTGGGAGAAAGATAAGAAACTGCTGAGTTGTTCCAAGGTGGCAGGGAAAAACAACGGACAGCTGCAACACTGAACTGTGGAAAAGTACTAAACTGTGAGAAGTTACCGCCGCGTGAACAGCGCATGAACAAGAAGGTGATTGGTCTGCACAGCGCATGTTAGAGTGGTCTTATGCTGATAGGAGAAAGGATTGATAGCTGTCTAATTGCTGATTTGTCAATTATGAAGTAAGAGCTATAACGAGAGCCTAAGTATGTATTGTTGTAAAAAGAAATAGGAAGAAGAAAGATGGCCCCGGGCCTGCAGAAAGAAAAAAGAACGCTCTGACTTGTTATTTTGGCTGCTACAAATTGATGTTCTTTTTCTTCCCCTAATGAGACTGTCTTTTGCCCATGACCATAATGGGTGATCACCCCTCCCTATCCTTATCTCAATTCCTGAGCCTTTTGCTTTATTTTCTTCTCCCCATTCCTGTGGGGGAAGGGGTGAGTGAGAGGCTGTGTTGTGCTCAGTTGCCCTCTGGGCTCAAATCATGATAGGAAGAATGACAAACAGTGGTTCCCTGTTCACCTTACGAGATACTCTGCTTCTGAAGATTATCCTGCAATAGATCATCGGAATGTACTGTATTTTAATAGGACACCTGTGACACTGCATGTTCTGTAGCAGACAGAGAGTGGTTTTCATGATAATCCTATTCTTAGGGTCTCATAACTTCAAAGCTGAAACTTGCTTTTGTATTCTACAATAAAAAGGACATAGTCAATTTTAGAGAGGAGCCTACATCAAGGGTAACTAATAAAAACCGATGCTTTCTCCTAAGTGACTACTCCTAAGCTATCTGAAGTTAGTTTTTGTTCTGTATCTGATTGTTTTGATAGAAGGTTGTTAACTTTTTGGTGTCTCTTGGCAAGTAAGGATTCATTTATTTTTGTATGTCTATCTCATTCTTTTCCAGTATCTCTTTTTTAATTATTATTTATAAATGGAAGAATGAGTTACATTTCTTTTTCAGACACAAGACATACCATATACCATATTGTGTTCTACTTGTCTTGAATAAAAAACAGGCTTGAACAGTTAGTCATTTCCAGTGTCTGTCAACTAGATACCAGTTCAGTAAAATGAGCCATTTTAAATTTTCAGGACTGCCATTTTCAGCAGCAAGAACCTGCATTCATTGTGCACTGCTCCCCAGCAACTGGAATAAATCTGTTTACTAAGGATTTACAGAGCTCTGGAAAATATAGCACCAAGTCTCTGACTGCATTCATGCTCTTTGAACCTACACAACATATTGTGAATTCAGTATAATTTCAACCTGCATTCTTGAAGTGTGATGAAGGTGTGTTTTGTTCTGTTGTCTTTTTTTGATGTCTCACTCTCCTTTTCTCTGCCTAATCTATCCTCTACTCTGTCTATTGTATCATGATGTCTCTGATGGTCAGACTCTTAGTGGTCTTTTATCACATTCAGTTCACTTAACTGTCTAAAAGCCTCTCACTCTTGCAGAGGATTTTCCTTCTCCATGTGCTTTTGCTCTCACTGTGCACTTGCCTTTTTCCTCTCTCTTTCCCTCTGATCACTCCTTCAGTCTCTTGCAGTTAATGTTTATCTCCAGTTTCTCATCATTTCCTGCTCCTTTCAGAAGACAGTAGCATGGTCCAGCATCTCGGAATCCATTCCTTGGACTAAAATATATCTATCCAATCTCTGAGCGCTATAGTTAAAAAATTAGGAATGGCATCTCCTGTGGTCATTTTATCCACAGACTAAATGGAAACACTACAAGCCTCAATGATGCTGTTGACTGCCAATTACTTCTTAACTGCTAATGTGCACATGATACTGGCTTTGCTTTATTGATTTTTATATAAAGAATGTTGTATACTTTAGATATTTTTTTCTTGAAGATAACATAAAATGTTACAGGTTCCTTTTAATTTCCTTTTAGACTACATAGACAAAATTGGTACTTGGTCTAGAATTCAGTTAACAGATTTTTACATCAGAATTATATGTACTAAGACACTCACACACTTAAGAACATCTGTATGTAAACATCCTTGATTTCAACCATTTTCAAATGAAAATCTGAAAATTTAATCTGAAAAGTTCTGATTGCAAGTTTTATGCAGATACACATAAATGCTGCTGTGTTTTATTAGGGGCAGTGCAGAAAAAAACTGTAGTCTCACAGTCTACATGTACCTGAGTGTTAACTCATTCTATAGTTTGCAGCATGGCAAAAACTCATAGACCTAGATCTAGTAGTCTTGGTATTTTAATCTCTTCTTCATTATTTGTGCATTAGTATCTACTAGCCAAAATTGACATCACTGTATGCTGAACAAACACACAGCAAGAAACAACTCCTTCCCCTGCAAAGTTTTAGGTCTAAGGAATTATGAGCCCATATCCTCATTTTCAGTTGGTGATGTTACCTTTGTTGGGGATTTTTAAAAGGCAAGTAGGCAAAAAGTGCAATAGAATCCAGGGGAAAGGCAGGATTAATATGACAGTTTTATAGACAAGGAACTGAGGCACAAAGAGATTAAATAATTTTCACAGTGTGACTCCTGGAATCTGAGCACTGACCTCAATTCTCCTGAGTCCCCTCTGCACTGGACCACCCACACTACCAACTCTCCAAGTCTTCATGTAGTCTGTGCCATCTTTTAAATCGTCAAGCCCTAAACATCCCACTTACATTTTCACTGTTAACATCTGCCTCACTGGGGCAGCCAAAGAGTTCTCGTCTCAGCAAATTCCCATCATATTCCAGGAATGTCAGGTAGAGGTTGCGGAAAAACTCCACGTGCTTGTTTTTCACCCGCAGCTTCTTTGGTGAGTTCCAGTGAATCACCTCAGAGGAAAAAAAGAGAAAACACATCCTGCTGTTAGAATACAGATTTGCTCTATCTGTTCTTTCTATGTGTCTTCAGTTTACTGCCCTCTTAAAAACAAAACAAAAAAATCACCAGCAAAACTAAACAGACTCCCTTCTGTCTTTTTATCAGGAAGGCCTATCTTTCACAAGTCAATACTCTACAGTGATGTACTTTGAAACTCTTCCATAGGGTTACCTGCACATTTGAGTTAGAGTGCTGTTCTAGTCTATGATGCAGTACCTCACAAATGCCGCCACAGCTCTCACCATGGAGCTGACAGGTTATGGACTGTTGAAGAAGGTGGCAGGATGAGGGATGCAGGTATTAAACATTAACCTCAGAAACACAACTGTTTCAGCTAATGAAATTGATTCACTGTTTCACTCCAAGCAGACTCTTCTCTGGTTAGGTACTGAGAAGAAAAAGCTTGAAATTAATTCCTATACCCATTTTCACCCTTCAAAAAGGACTGAATTTAAGCTGACTTCCTTTTTGCCATTGTTTGATTTAAGCAAGGCCGATCTCAGTTGCATTACACAACACAGTGATGCAGTACAATGCTTCACCCTTTGAATTCCAATTTCTAGGAGGTATTTAGCCTCTGCTAATGGGAGATGACTCTCACAGTGGCCTAGATTTAACTCTAATGCTGACATAAAGGTCCTGATTCTCATTTACATCAAGTCAACTTTGCACTGCTGTCAGTGTGAATGACAATGGGGCCCTAAGCAAAAACTAAGAGGGAGACAAAAGTGGCTTGTAGGAATGATTTCACTTTATAGAGGCTATATTTTAGGCATAAGTAAAAACACCACATGCTTTGTATTCAGTTTTATTCCTGTGATTTTTCAAGAGATTTAAAAAAAAAAAAAGTATTTATTGAGAATATTTCTAAGCTAGGAGTTCTGGAGGTTTTCTGAATCCATTAAGTTACTTGTGTGAAGGAACTGTGTCACTCACACACAGCCACAGAGCTGCACCGCCAGCTGCCAAGCTGGTTGCGTGGTAAGCTTTGCTCTAAACATTGCATTTGTGGGAGGGAATGCACAGTGCTGTAAGTGCAGCACACAGAAGAGAAGCAGCCCGGAGCAGATGAATGCAGTTCCCTTGGTGTTGGCAACACAACTCCACAGGAACAGGGAGCCCTCTGAAATCACACTGTCTGTTGCTGAATGAGTGGACTAGAAGAGGAAAGAGCAGGACGTAGCCTGAATTCTTTCTGTGCTAACTTCAGCAAACAAGATAGCCTCTCCTCTGAGTATTTATGCTGCAATAAAAGCAATGGCACTCTTTTCTATATACTCAGCATCAATGAAAATATCTTCTGATAGGGAAAGCTTTATCCCTTCCCAGGTTTTCACTGCTGAGGCTACTTAGAATGTCAGAAAACCACACATGCAGTTACAGAAAAGCAACTGTAGGGAAAAAAGATAATTTCAGAAATTGGCAAAACACTTTTCCCAGTTACAGGAACACTTCAAATCAAGATCATGATGCATCTACACACTGTATAAATCCATGAAATTATTTGGACAAAAGTACTGAGTGTAGATATTTTTCCCAGGTAATGCTACATTCTTCGCTGGTTTTACATTTGTCCATATGTTTGGAAGTGTAGCTTAATGGTGCAATAACATGTTTCTGCAACGTGTGCTGAAAATACAGAACACCACAGAAACAAAAGGAGCTTTAAGTAGGTTAGGACATAAACTTAAGATGACAGATTTCCTCCACTGAGAAAAGGATCTTCAAAATCTCCCTTCTCTGAAAAGAATGGACATATTTAATCCACTGCATTTAACTGCAGCAAAAGACATTATATGCATGCAAAAAAAATCTCAAAAATTGAATCCTACCTCAGGGAAACAAGCACACATAATGGAAGTGCTGGGCTGAAGGAACCGAAAAGGCTGCTTAACAGTTTTACAGGGTACTAGTATGCATTTTTACAAGCAGACATAGAAGTGAAACTGCTGGTAACTTGCACTTATTTAAGAGTGGATCAAAGAAAGCTGAGAAGGTAGCAAATGGGACAAAAAATACTTGCTAACAAAAATCTGTGTTCTCCATGCTACTCTTACACTCCATATACATTTCCTTTTGGATGTTTTCACAAGCACCCTATCCCCCTGCTGAGCACCCTGACCACTCACCCTGGAGATCATGAGCACAGAAATGGCTTATGATGATAAACTCACCTTTACGGGACAGGCTCCCTGATGCTGCAGGAATTTCCCATCAACATACACTATGTCACATCACAACCAAGTACTGGTGTTGATGTCTCTACCCAGTTGTGTGGGGGATGTCATCAAAGCCAGACAACTGCAGTTGTCAGCATAGAGGCTCTTTGCTGCCATGCTTCAAAATCTGTTTTGTGTGTAAAAGCTGGTAAGTGTCAAGGGCCTAGCTGGTGGTTCAGAACTGATCAGATCTGAAATGTGTCAGGATGCTGCATGTTTACAGATGTCAGGGGAGCCTGCAGTCAACTGAAGAAAGCTGAATGAAGCAGATGACTATTCAGAAAAGCTGATTTTTTAATCAAGAAAGACAGCACACATGCTAAAGATAATGTGCTAAAGTCGTCAAGGAACTATGAAGCCATCTGGATGACCTGAGGTAAGAAAACCACAAAAAAGGTCTAGCAAAAAAGCAGGCTGCTTTTCAAATGTAACATGATTAGATAAATACTATGTGATATATGAAAGCATAAAAAAGAACAGAAGGTTTCAGAAAGCAACAAGACTGTTAACAATTGACATACAATACCAAATCCAAAGACCATATTTTTTTTTGTTGTTGTCAGCCCACAAATTGACCTTCATTTGTGACTGTAGCTGTCTGATTTGGTCTACTGCACCATCAGCTACAGCAGAAGTTGTACAGACCAAGACATCCTTGCATAGCCTGTCACAGGCATCAGTGAGGTAGACAATAAAGACAACGGGCTTCACAGGTAAAGCTATGGCCATTACATTAGAAACTTTATGGTGAGCAACAGTGAATTGATTGGAGAAAAAAAATTACTTGCAAAGAGACTACAGGGAAATAAGAAGAAAAAAAGTCAAACTTAGAATCCACTTTATTTGCAGAATAAGCAAGTGTTAGCTCAACGCTAAAAAGAGAAAGTGAGTCTAGAAACTAAAAATCTCTTTACTATAACATCCACTTTCCAAGACTGAATAGCACCATAATACTGTGTTTATTTCTTCTTCCATTTTCCCTGCTGATTTCTAAACTATTACAAAGCTGTTGGCTTACAGAGGAAACTGCAGCCAGAATATACAAAATTCCAGTGCCATTTTCTGGGTGGACATCTCAGGAATAGTGCTAGCCTTCAGGCTGTCCCATGGATCCTTCCATCTCTTGATCAAGGTTTCCCAAGAACTAAGAAAAATATGCTCCTTAATCTTCATTTAGCAACTTAAGTACTGAAAGATCAGAATTTAAAATTCCACAACTGTTTAACACTTGGTTAGTTGTCATTAAGCAACTTGGCGCTATCTACATTTCTGTTAATACCATCCTAGTTAATCAGCAGCCATTACCACTCATTGATTACACTCAGCCAGCCTCCTGGAATACTTCCATACACTTGTGACCTAGTGAAACAGGCTAACTGCACCAATAGTTCCCATTTATTCACCAGGTTCTGACCCAAAGCACTCAAATGATGACATAGTTGAAGTCTTGTAGTGTGGCAATGGTATCTGAGAGGGAAGGTAATAGAGGATGTTACATACTTCTGAAGTATAGGAGAGGGATCTAAGGTCAGTTATCTGCATGGAAATATACTGAAAAGAAAAATCCCAGCAAACCTCCTTAGGTTACCCACTGCATTGTTGCCTCTGGGGAGATCAAATATTTCAAATCTGATGTTCACTAAATGATAAGCTTCGACACAACATTATTTCTATAGGTACCTTTATCCATTTTCCCCCTGAAGCATCTTCTCTCTCCAAAAGAAGCATTTGGCCAGATGTTCCCTGAACCACAATCTCTTCCATTTTTACCCAAAGACACATCTTGATAATTTCTCTCACTCTGCTACAGCCTTTATGAAATCAGAAAATACAGGATATCCTGTATATCTATATACCCACTTTCCAGGCTGAAGCTTACTAAAAAGTAAGAATAAACTAAGCTTAAACTTAAGCCTAAAGAAGTTTGCAAAGCAAAGAACAGATATTCTTATCTACTGTGCAAATCCGCACAGTAAAGCTACCCATACATGACACTTTAATGCCATCTCAATAGACATTTTTTCTGGCACATATTATTGAAAAGTTTAAATATGCCCAAAGTCACACTGTAAACAAGCACCAAACTCAATTAGAGATGTCTGGAAACTTGATTTTTAAACTGCATTTTATCAGAAATGAATGGTTTAATAAAAGAACCAATTTCCCTAGAAAGGATCAAACACTTTACAAAAATGTTATCAGGGAGGTTTCAGAGTGATATTTCTGAACTACATAAGTAGAAGTGACTCACGCTGGAGTAGCCAGCAATCCAGAGGTCCAGGCACTGCTTTTGGATGTGGGATTCAAATGCCTGTCCTTCATGTTTTTGTGCCCATGGTCCCAGGGTTTACTTTACTCCCCAGATCACTGCCTATGCCATATGGCAGTAATCTGACAGACTGTGCCTGTCTTGTACTTTTCAAAGTTCTCAACTTTCCTTAAAAGGATCTGCAGTTCTCCCTTAACTCCTGTACCAATGTTTAACAACACGCCTCCTGCCTGCAAAAGTATCCCTAAAACCAAGTCTATTATACCTCAGTGCTCCCTTTTTGGCAGAGCAAAAGCACCTTACTGACTCAAGGGAGGGGTATGTTTAACCCTCTTAAGATCTCAGTGTAGCTCTTCCTTGGCTGACATTAAAAGGTACAAGGTAGCAGAATGCCAGAACTGCTGCAGATCACTCCTGAGGTGCTTAGATTGGCTCTAGGACTGCAATAGAAAAGATGTGCAAT